GGAATTATCCGGAATACTTTCAGTCTGTTTATGTCATTAAGTAATATTATATGAAACTGCTAACACTAGAGTTATCTTTTTCCAGGGAGGACAGCAACCAAGCGAGGAGGTTGGAACCTATGGGGGTTGGTAAAGTGCCTTCCGATGATGTTCACTTGAATGACTTCACAGAAGTTGAAGGTAAGGATGCTGAAGCTGGCGTCAGTATGGATGATGAGCTTGCAGATTCTGAAGGTGAAACGGATTCTAATGTGTATCGTGCAACTGCTACAACTGGAAGAAAGTTTAGGATGGTTGTGATTGAGATGGAAATGGCCAGGTTTGTTCTCTTTGTATTTGCTTTACTTTGAACACCGATTAAATATGATATGCACTTTATGAATTTAGAGAATCTCAAATTGCAACACCAACTATCTGTACAACGATCATATTATTACGTGATCTCTTTTCTATTTCAAGGGCATAGCAAGTAGTTAGAGGCGTAGAGTTCAAAGGCAGTAACAGCAAGCAGTGCAATGGCGATGGCGCATACGTAAACTTTGATCTCCCCACCACTGAATGCATCATTGTGAAGCGCCCTCACCTCATCAGTGGGAGCTCCAGCCTCAGCATCTTGCTTCCTGGCCTTCAAGATCCGTCGACAGATATGAGCATGTTCCTCGCAGAGCATGTCCAGCCGCTTGTGAGTGCGGCACAACATTATGAAAACCTTCAGGATGTTCAAAAGGAAGACCAACGAACAGGAAAGACTCAAACCCGAAGCCCTCCACCAATTAACGCAGTCGAGAGGCAACGAAGTGCGAGAGACAGCAAGGAAGAAGAAGCGCTGCCACATGAGATAGCTCACAATCAACACACTGGCTCTGTTCTGATAGTGAAGCACCCTCTGTTCTTCCTTGTCAGCAACAGCCTTCAACACCTCTGTTTTAGTCCTCAGCGCTTCAGGCTCCATGGCCATTAGAGCTTTTGTCCTTAACTAAATTCTTAGTTTCCTGAATTTGGTGTGGTGTTAGGCTTTTATACACATGCATGCAGAGTTCAAGAGTTCAAAAGGAGAGAACAATATTTCAAAGTATGATCGATCATACACGACTCCATCTTCATTTGATGAGTTAAAAACTTGTATAGTGACTTCTTTCTTGTAGAAATAAAAATTTATAAGTGGTCTAGTCATAGGGTCTAATTATTTGGTTATAAAATTATATATATATATATATATATATATGATTCTAGTTGACCAAACTTTTGAAGAAAGTATCTGTTAGAACAATGGATTAAATAAGATGGCCCCCAATGCCTTCATAGGGAAGGCAAATATCCGAGAAAACTTCCTCATTAAATTTGAAAATTAATGTTTTATTGGGTAAAGTGCCTTATAAATTTCTATATTTTGTATTTATAAAAAAAAATTGTAGCTGAATTGAAACACTCCTCCAATTCTTCAATTAATGTAATATTAACTTATATTACATTTATTTGTAATTAAGTAAGTAAATATGGACTCCAAATATAATTATCAATCTTGGTCTTTTCCTCCATCAATTTGTGTTCATCCTATTACGTCAGGTACAATCCAAACTTGAAAATTACTTAGGTTTAGTTATTGTTAATATTTGTAATACACAAATGTTTATTTTGAAAATATTTATATTCATTTATTTATTTGACAACATACTTTATTTAAATTGGATAGGATGGAGATTGAAAACATCAAATTTGTTTACTATAGATCGCTCTTTAATTTGATGTTCATTTTTGTTCGATGGTACGTATTGAACGTAAATTTGGTCACCTACAAAACCTTACAAATATTTAAATTAATAAATAGTAGTTTATAAAATTTTTAATTAAAAAAAGTGGATTGTAATCCATGGCCGATTATCATTACAGAAAGAAAAGTAAAATTTAAATGCTAATTTGAATAATTTTAATTGGTTAACAACTAAATTGAAAATTAAAATAAGTACACTCATAAGCATAGGGCTACTTCCCCTAGAGATGATGAGTGCGGACGCGCACCTTATGATGAGCGCGAATGCGCACAGGTGCGAAAGCACACAGATGAGGGTGTTCATGAGGCGCATGACACTATGGGGTTCCGCTGACCTCCGGACGTCGCTACAGATTAGCTTGACCAGAGGGTCCAGGGGGTGTGCGAGCGCCCTGGGGACTCACACTCGCACGTGTGAGTCGTGTGTAGGGAAGTACTACACATCCAATTTATCCGAGACTGGAGGCCACCCCTAAGATGATTAGAGATAGGTCCCTAAATCATGGTTGCATGTGTTTGCATTTGCATGGCCCCATATAGTGGGGCCACTTACTGAGTATTCTTTGAAATACTCAGGCCGTGTGCCACTTCATTTTTCAGGTAAAGGCAAGGTGCACTTGTACGGAGGACGGCGGCATCGCGAGTAGAGACTGTGGCACGTGCATAGGGTAGACTCATATTTAAATTTCTAGTCTTAAGTTAGAATAGGTTGTTTTGCATTTAATTGTTTTAAATTATTTTGTATTTGTTTTTGTTTTCTCTAAATTTCAGTATTTCATATTTAAACACGTAAGACCATGGCTGTGTTTTCAGAGAAGAAGTTGTTTTAAACGTTTTTTTGAAATTTTTGTTATCAATTATGTTCATGTAAGAGTTATATTTTCCGCATTATAGATGAGCATGAGACGTTAGTAGCGACTCTGAGTATGTGGAAATTTAGGGTCGTTACACTAACGATTTTGAATATAATTTTTTTTATCAAATTGATTTTATGTTGTTTATTTATTTATTTAGTTATTTTAGAGATTAGGTCAACGAGTGATATTTGTCTAACCATTTTGAATATAATTTTTTTTATCAAATCGTTTGGTATAGAAATAATAATGGGAATGTTAATTCGCTCTTTCTGTCGATATTAAATTTATAAACATGTTTTTTTTTTTTTTTTTATGATATGGGTTCGGTTTGTATTTAAATTTTATTTTACTTTGCTACTTAAGTTCATTATTCCATTAATTATGAGCTATTTTTATTTTAAAATAATAATAGTATTCTATTATTATTTGAAATATTCCATTAATTTCGTTTTTAGTGCTTTCGTGGAAATTTCTTAAAAACTAGGTCGATTGAGTTTTAATTTTGGCTCTACTATTTTATAAAAAATACAGATTAATTTGTAAATTACCAAATTAACCCTCACACCCCAAGGAATTATAACAATGGGTTGGTTCTTTAATTTAATTGATTTAGTATGCGATTAAATTTTAAAACTTATTGAATTTTAGAATTGGTTAATTTATAAACTTAGCGCTTGTAGTTCTTTCTAAAATTTAATTACAACTAAATTCAAAACTAAAATATTTATTAGAGTTCTGGAATATTTAATTGGGCTGCCGTATACTCGGACAGTCAACTGTAGTATTTTTCTAATATACTTTTTCCAAATGTTTTATATATATTTATATATATATATGTATATAATTAAACATTTTAATAAATCCAAATTAAAGAAAAATATAATACAATATTCAAATATAAACTCTAAAAGTCTAGAAGTTGCATTTAAAGATTGAGAATCGTTCCTACTTAGATCATAAATCTCTTCCCCTCCTCAATTTAATGTTCGTTTTCATTACATTGGGCCAAATTAATTTAGGGAAAAATAAATATTTTGATTTTAAATAGTTACATTTTTACTTCTAAATTTTGAATTTAATTTTTATTGGTTAAGATATTTTAAGAATTTGTTTGTTTATTTTTTAAATTTGAGTTTAGTTTTGATTATCTCCTTTCAAGATATTACATATTTATTCCAGACTTTTTAACTTTTTTTTTTTTAATAATTAACATATATTTTTTAAAAATTAATTAATTGTCACTAATATTTCATTACAAATCACAAAAATACATCTCATTTACTTAAAAATAATAATAATAATAATAAATAAATAAATAAAAATAAAAGTAAAATTCAATATTTTATCGTGGAGGGTTGAAATATTTAAAAAAATTTATCCAAATGTTTATAATATATTACAACATAATTACCATTAAAAAAAAGATATATTATGACTAATAACGTAGGTATGAGAATATTTTAAAAAGTCGTTGATTAAAAATTCATTTTCAGCCAAGAGAGAGCCCGCCGCCTGGATAAGCTCTCTTTCTTTCTTTTTTTTCTTCCAAAATGTCCACTTTTCAACTGATTTTTTTTTTTTTTTTATAAAAAAAAATTAAGAAAATCAAAATTTTCTTCTAAGAACATAATTAAAATACGTACAAAATTTAGATTTTTTTTTTTTTTTTATAAAAAAAAAAAAAAAATCTAAATTTTGTACGTATTTTAATTATGTTCTTAGAAGAAAATTTTGATTTTCTTAATTTTTTTTTATAAAAAAAAAAAAAAAATCTAAATTTTGTACGTATTTTAATTATGTTCTTAGAAGAAAATTTTGATTTTCTTAATTTTTTTTTATAAAAAAAAAAAAAAAATCTAAATTTTGTACGTATTTTAATTATGTTCTTAGAAGAAAATTTTGATTTTCTTAATTTTTTTTTATAAAAAAAAAAAAAAAATCTAAATTTTGTACGTATTTTAATTATGTTCTTAGAAGAAAATTTTGATTTTCTTAATTTTTTTTTATAAAAAAAAAAAAAAAATCTAAATTTTGTACGTATTTTAATTATGTTCTTAGAAGAAAATTTTGATTTTCTTAATTTTTTTTTATAAAAAAAAAAAAAAAATCTAAATTTTGTACGTATTTTAATTATGTTCTTAGAAGAAAATTTTGATTTTCTTAATTTTTTTTTATAAAAAAAAATTAAGAAAATCAAAATTTTCTTCTAAGAACATAATTAAAATACGTACAAAATTTAGATTTTTTTTTTTTTTTTTGGGGGGTATATTGATCAGAAACTAAGGGCTAAATAATAGCTCCATGTAGAAAGAAAAAAAAAAAAAAAGAGAGAGAGAGAAAAATAATAAATAAAAAGTCAAATTTCACCTTTTTGCCATCATAAAAGGGAAAGAGCTCCTGAAGGAGAAAGAGAAAAAAGAAAAAAGAAAAAAAAAATCAACCAATCACTACAAAGTCTTTCCGTGGATATAGTCCAAAAATAAATTGGAAACTAAAATAGGTAAAAATATTTTAAACAACTGTAAAACTATTTCACTTGCATAGCACATACTTACAGGCGCCGAGTTCAAAAGCGGTAACAGCAAGCAGAGCAAAGGCGATGGCGCATGTGTAGACTTTGATCTCCCCACCACTGAATGAATCATTGTGAAGCGCCCTCACCTGGTGGAACCTGACATTGAACTCGACCCCATGGGTGGAAGCTCCAGCCTCACCATCTTGGTTCGTGGCCTCCAAAATCCGTTGACAGAGATGAGTATGTTGGTTGCAAATTGTGTGGAGCAGGTTGTGAGTCCGGTACAATTTGATGAAAGGCGGCAGTAAAATCAACAAATAGAGGGATGAACAGGAAAGACTCAAACCGAAAACCATGGGCCAATGAACACAGTGGAGGGTGGAGGAATTAGAGGAGACAGCAAAGTAGAAGAAGCGCAGCCAGGCCAGGTAGCCTAGAGTTGTGTAAATGGCTCTACTCTCGTAGTAACGCACCCTTTGTTGTTGCTTTTCAGCTAGATACTCCAAATCCCTCCTCACCTCTTCAAGCTCCATCCCTGAATTGAAACACTCCATCAATTCTTCCATTAACATATAGAAAATGCTTGTTTAATGTTCTTTTATAGCCATAGAATTCCAAGAGATTGATATAGACTCCTTGATAGAGCCACTTGAAAATGTGAATTGTTGGGGTACTACTTGATAGCTACTGCTTCGGCTACTATGACGTCTAAGAATGTGAGTGAATGGTAAGAGTATTTGATAAGGATAGACATTTAATATGCTATTAAATTTTCAACCTAAGAAATTAATGGGTAGAATGACCAGACTTTTCTAAATCTAAATCAATTAGGGTCGTTAATAGATGCGTGCAATCTATCATTTTAAAAGTTGAAAGAAAATTGTAAGAGTTAATAAATACCGAATTACTTCTAGCTTATTATGGGTCCAGTAGAATATTTGAAAATACATAGGTCAAACTAAACAAACTCTAAAACATACATTATAATGAGTGAACCACAAATCAATTTCCTTTAACACCTTTTAAAATAATCAGAGTTCACAACCGCATGAAAAACTTTTAAATGTTAGAAGCAAAAACAACATAATGAAGACAACTTCATGGCACAACCAACAGCCCTCCTCGTTACATCTTCTAACCAAAACGTAGGTCAACTAGCATATGACGATAGTAGTACAATTAATCCATTCACTAATAAGTGTCACGATGTTATTCCATAAATACCATGTCATATCTACAGGCAAGAGGTCATAAACATTTCAAAACAATATTTTCATGTAATTGCACCCACCAACAAACAATGACAAAGCAAACAAAGTGCAAACGGCATTTAATAAGAAAATCACTTCCTCGAATAAGCAGTTTCAGCATGTATATTCCTCCCTTTAGCTTAGCTTATGACCGGCTCAACATAACTCAAAATGTAAACAATTATCCAACTCAGAATACAAAATTTTTAATCCAAGTGCCTAAAGATGGCCCTAAATCCAATAAAATCAATACCAAATCAACTGAATTGAGCATTAACCAGACATAAAGCCATCATGGACCGAAGAAATCCATCAAACCGAGTAGAAAACCTCACTAAATCACAAAGCTTGAACATAATCTCAGAGATTATGAGTAAGTAGAACATGCATGATAGTAGCTAGTACAGGATATCATTATGTATTCATTCAATCAGGCTTCATTTCCTTTACTTTATATAAGAATTTAGAAGACAAAGAAATACTGAAACTCACAAAACCTTCATACCTGCAGGCTATCCAACTTGAACTTGCAGCGATCAACAATTATGGCATGACCTCCTTAGCATCCTCTAAACCTCCTTTATCATGTGGGTTCTGAACTTTATTTCATAATTGACAAAGTGCCTTTGTCCTGGAAGAAATGCCAAGTTCACAAAATCAGATGATATGGTGTCTCATGTTCATTTCCAATGCTCAATGTCATGCAAACACTAACATTTTAAGGTTCAAGAAACTGCCCAAAATTGAAGTATAGGATTTAAGGCAACAAAACCCAAAAACCAAATTAAACAAAAAGATTGCATTGAAGGCAACAAAGCAATGCAGTAAAAGCAAACAAACTGAGGTAGATACATACAGCAAGAACCCAGAAAAATGCCCAAAAGCCAACAAACTAAGCTGTGGATGCAATGAAGCCAGCAAAAGAAACCAGGTTGCAAAATTTCGATCAAGGAACTATTTGGAAGTTAATGAAGTATCCTCCACGCAAAATTTGGAAATTTTCATTAACTTAAACCCATCTCAACTGATAGGCCACTAGTTATTCATGTGACTAAAGAAAGAGAGTTAATGGGGAGGAGTATGTTGAGGATTGTTGGGAGAGGAGTCCCAGCCAATATCATACCATTGTGCATAGTCATGATTTCTAACAGAATACCCAAAGCATGTACGAGTTAGCTAGATGGGGAGACCACTTGAAACTAGATGAATGAGCATAGTGAGGAAGCCAACCATAAATCAAGAACATAAGTAGATGTGAGGAGAACAAAGTAGAACTAGCAATGACACAAAAAAACTTTTCTATATTAGCATTTACTACCTTTCTACAAAGAATCAAATTACATCATTTATGCATCTCTTCCTATACGTTGATAATATGCTGAAACCAATTAAAGATTTAGGAGTTGTCTAAAACTCGAAAGAGAGACATAAAGAGGAGTTTAATACGAAAAGATGCTACCCTACATACAAATTGATAGATATAGACATTCAAGATGCAAAGTGAATTGATACTTCATTAATACCATATTTCATACTTTCAACTACTTGATTCACACGAATAGATAATGAGACATGATTCACACGAATAGATAATGAGACAGAGTTCCTCATTCCAAAATAGTTTGAGTCTACCAAGTATGTTGTGGCATAGATAATGAGACAGAGTTCCTCATTCCAAAATAGTTTGAGTCTACCAAGTATGTTGTGGCATGTATTTATACAAATGTATTTTATGCAATTACTGCAATTGACATACATATGGCGAACCTTCTCGTAGCAAAGATGGAATTATGAGTTACGTATAAGCTAACAAGTGATCGATACATCTCTAACAAATGTTGGACCCATATTAACTTCGCGCAGCTAGTAACTTTTTAACATATATCTATTGAGTTAACAAGTGTCTGCTCGTGTACAACAAGTGTCCAAGTGTGAAACGCTGGACACGTTAGCTGAACTAAAGTGTCCTGGTACTATCTTTCTTACAAAGGCTTACGTGTATTATAAAAGGCAGGACAGAGCACACATATGTACAATATGATTTTGTACATGATGTTGTTAACAGTTGTGATGATATTGTTAGGAGCAAAATTGGGATAACTCAGCTAACATGAAGACTAAAATCTATTTCATCAAATAATTTACTTGCTTCCATTTGATTGGTTTTTGCAATTTCTGAACTACTCTAAAACTTGGAGAAGATAATGGATGTTACTTCAAAACTTGGTGTCATAGCGTGACCTTACCTTGCTTTGATAAAGACTGTTTTACACTTTTCCCACAGCGATATTGAATTCTTTTGGAACTAACTAACATAGCTTAGTTCAAATTTATTTTTCTGTTGCTTACACTCAACTTTTGTAAGAGATGAATATAGATGAACAAAAAGGCAGAAACAGGATAGGGGAAACACACACAATTTCATACAGCAGAAATCATATAACTCAAGTACAATTATTAAGAACAAGAAGAGAAGAAAAGGGAAAGAACATATTAAGTAAGAAGCAGAAACACAAGCAGCCCCATCATAACTGATTATAAGATCAAAATACATAATCTGAATTTAAAGCTACAACACTCTTAAACATATGTATAGTAAGGCGGCAAAGGATGTGCAATTTCAGTTGCATAGCAAATACTTACAGGGGTAGAGTTCAAAGGCAGTAACAGCGAACAGAGCAAAGGCGATGGCGCATCCGTACACTTTGATCTCCCCACCACTGAATGAATCATCGGTAAGCGCCCTGACCTGGACCCCGAAATCGAACCCGACCCCATCATTCAAAGCTCCAGCCTGACCATTTTGGTTCATGGCCTCCCAGATCCGTTGACAGATATGAGTATGTTGGTTGCAAATTGTGTGGAGCAGGTTGTGAATCCGGTACAACTTGATGAAAGCCGGAAGTAAGATGAGGAAGTAAAGGAATGAAGAGGAAAGACTCAGATCCAAAACCATGGGCCAATGAAAGCAGTGGAGGGTGGAGGAAGCAGGGGAGACAGCGAAGTAGAAGAAGCGCAGCCAAGACAGGTAGGCCAGAGTCGTGCAAGTGGCTCTGCTCTTGTAGTAACGCACATTTTCCGCAAGTGACTCGAAATCCCTCCTCACCCATTGAAGCTTCATCTATGAATTGAAACACTCCATCAATTCATATAATTTCTCTCACCATCTCTGTTCCTACATACTATTAGTTTATAAATTTTTTAATTAAAAATGTTAATACATCTTTATATATTCTTTTTACTTAGGACCAATAATTTGAATAATTTTGATTGGTTAGCAAATAAATTGAAAATTAAAATATTTACGAAACCATTCATCACATTTATGAAAACATAGAAATTGATTTTATTATAAATGAAAACCTACGATTTGATTTCACAGCTATACTTTGAATTAAAGGCATTTCTTTGGCCAAAGGCACTTAGTATGTAGATGCTTTAACCAAAACGACTCAAGGCAATTATTCTGGGAGGCACGAGAATCGAGGACCAAATTTTTTAATATTTTAAGTCATTTTAATTTAAACATTAATTAAATATGATATGCACTTCATAAATTCTCTTGTGGAATTAAAATTTCTTTATTTTCTTTTTCTTTTTTACTTTCCAGGTTAAGTCAAGTCAATGCCTGCCGCGGTACTCGGATAAGCCTGGTTGGCTTTCTAAGGACATAATTCAAATACAACAAAATTTAGAAGTTTTTTTATTTTTTATTTTTTATTTTTATATATTTAGAAGAAAAATATAATAGCTCAATTTAGAAAAATATATATAATAAGGAGAAGCACATAGGCCGCTACCTATTCGTGTGATTAAAGAATGAGAGTGTTGTTGGTTTAACAAAATACATCACCATTAGTAAAATACCAAACTAACTAACCCTCCCAGACATCTAACCCAGACTTACTGTTCACTTATTTATTAATGTCAATAAATTAATTAATAGATATTGATAAATTAGAGTTATAGAATATTTTAAAATAATTGAAGCCATTTCCATTTTAAAATTAAAATGTAATAAAAAAAAATTAAATATTTTATCTTGAGAATTGGAACAATCAACCAATTATTACACAGTGTTTGTTGCGATTTAATTAGAGTTATGATGACAAAAAAAAAAAAAAAGCTAAACCTTCTTTTTTTTTTGTTTGGAAGCGTGTAGATTTTTTTCTCCATGTTGTCTGTGTCAAGATGTGACTTTTTTATTTATATATTATTTTTTAACTAACGAATAATTTTTATTAAAATATTAAACATCTTACTGAATCTCTACAAATATAATATAATGTTTCATAAAAATTAAATTTTAAATATTATAACATAGTATTTAACGTTTGAAAATATGAAACATATTTTTTTTTTTTTGTTTATTTATTTACTGGATCTCTATAAATATAATATAATTTCTTTCTTCTTCTTCTTCTTTTTTTTTGTAAAACATTTTTTTTCTTTTTTATGATAGGGGTTTGGTTTACATTTAAATTTTATTTCACTTTGGTATTTAAAGTTCATTATTCCAAATAATAATAATGTTATTAATATTATTATTTAATTTTCTTTTTCTTCTACTTCTTGGTTTTTAGTGCTTTCGTGGAAATTTCGTAGGGCCGGTGAGTTTTGACTTTAGTTCTGCTATTTTATAAAAAAAAATACAATTAATTTTGAAATTACCAAGCTAATTCGAATTATTTTACAACAGTAACAATCATTTGTGTGCATATATTACAAATAAATTCGAAACTAAAAATAGGTAAAAAAAAAATTTAAACAAGAAGAAGAAAGAGGAAAAAAAAAAAAAAAAAAAAAACAATCACTGCAAAATCTTTCTGTAGATATATTAAAAAATAAATTGGAAACTAAAATAGGTAAAAATATTTTAAATAAAATTATTTCAGTTGCATAGGACACACTTAGAGGCCTAGAGTTCAGAAGCAGTAACAGCAAGCAGAGCGAAGGCGATGGCGCATGTGTAGACTTTGATCTCCCCGCCGCTGAATGAATCATTGTGAAGCGCCCTGACCTGGTGGAACCTTACATTGAACTCGACCCCATGGGTCGAAGCTCCAGCCTCACCGTCTTGGTTGGTGGCCTCCAAAATTCGTTGACAGAGATGAGTATGTTGGTTGCAAATTGTGTGGAGCAGGTTGTGAGTCCGGTACAATTTGATGAAAGGCGGCAGTAAAATCAAGAAATAGAGGGATGAGGAGGAAAGACTCAAACCCAAAACCATTGGCCAATGAACACAGTGGAGGGTGGAGGCATTAGAGGAGACAGCAAAGTAGAAGAAGCGCAGCCAGGCCAGGTAGGCCAGAGTCGTGTAATTGGCTCTGCTCTCGTAGTAACCCACCCTTTGTTGTTGCTTTTCAGCAAGACACTCCAAATTCCTCATCTGCGCTTCAACCTCCATGGAGTGAATTCTAACACTCCTCCAATTAACCAATAGTGTTGTGGAATAAAGATGCGGCCATAAATCTCCGAACTAAGGTATTTTGCGGATACATGTTGCACAGGATCCCTTCTCTATATCAAACGTCCCAAATATCATGTTTGGGAGGGTCCCATTATATTTATTTCCCATCTATATTTTTCTGTCACAAATACCTATACAGGTCATCTATATTTATTTGAACCTCCTCGTATATATTGTCCATTCTTAAATAAGATAGTGTTATTTGATTATAACCGGCAACATCATTTCAAATAATTTTATTTTTTTAAGTAAAATTTAAAATGTATTTTATTAACAAAATAATATACACAGTTCGTTCGGATTTGAATAGACTAATGATGAAGCAGATTTTCACATATTAAATTTTTTATTTATATATTATTTTTTAATTAAAGAATAATTTTTATTAAAATATTAAACAATGTTTACAAATATAATATAATAATGTTTCATCAAATTTTTAAATATCATAACATTTATTTACTTAGGTCTACCGATCAAATGGTAATTATCGCAGATATTTGTCAAAAACATATTTTCTTATTTTTTAAATTTTATTTCACTTTCGTACTTTCGTTCATTATTCCATTAATTACGATTTATTTTTATTTAAAAATAATAATAACTTTATTAATATTATTATTTAATTTTCTTTTTTCTTCTACTCTTTTTCGTTTTTAGTGTTTTCGTGGAAATTTACTAGATGGGTTGAATTTTGATTTTAGTTTTTCTATTTTATAAAAAATACATATTAATTTTGAAATTACCAAGTTAACCCTCATACTCAGGAATTATAACAATTGGTCCTTAATTCGAATATTATAATCATTTAATTTGAATTATTTTACAGTAACAATCATCTTTGTACCTATATTATAAATAAATTCGAAACTAGGTAAAAATATTTTAAACATATTTCTAGGGTTATGCAAAATTATTATTAACAAAAAAAAAAAATCACTATAAAGTCATATGCTATGCGTTTTTATAGCCTAGAACGAAGCTATTTTGAAGGTAAAATATTGGTCCGATCTATAAAAAAAAATTAATGTAACTAAACATCCAAATGCTACCTAAAGTGATTATAGTCTCATCTATACCTATGTCCTGTCCATCAATGCATAAAAATTAGGCACATGGGCACCTGTTCAATTTATCTTTTTAAAAAGTTCCCCGAGGTGGGCCCTATTCAACTCTATTTTTTCAACTTTATTTTATTTTATTTTATTTTTGTAGTCGTTCCAAATATATTTTTTTTGTTCAGTTTCATTTTTATTTTTATTTCATATCTCCTCAACCGTTAACTAATTTTCATTAAATTAATGTCGGTTAATTAACATAATTTTTTTAAATTAATTAATTGTAACTCATATTTCAATACATATTCCAAAAATATATCATACATTTGAATTAATGGAAAGAAAGCTAATAGAAACTAAAATTTAAAATAAAATATATTTTATGCCTCCCCAATTTTGAGTATAGTTTTTATTTAATTTTAAAATTTTAAATAGTTACGTTTTTTTCTTAGACTTTAAATGTAATTTTTATTAAATTACTGTATTTTAAAAAGTTTTTTCAAAATTTTACACCTCTATTTTTAAATTCTAACTAATTTTTAATTTCTGAACTTAATTTTTAAAATTAATTAATTTTGATATTTCATTATACAAACAAATAAAATTGAGAATATAAATTTGATTATTATAAATCTCCCCTCAAAACCTTACATACAAAACCTTACTAATATTTAAATTAATAAATATTAGTTTATAAAATTTTTAATTAGGAAGTGTTACATTTCTTTTTTCCTTTTTTATTGTAATCCACTCCCATGTATTAGAAAGAAAAGTAAAATTCATTTTCACAACTAAATTGAAAATTAAAATAAGCTCTTATGAATGCGTTAAAAAAAATACATTTATTTGGTAAAGAGTACTGTGGTCCTGTTGTTACCGAAGTTCTGTGTTGTTGAGGTGCTCTTCGTCAAAGTCGTGTGTTTTGTAGCATTGATTGCAAATGTGTGTGTTTATGTGTGTGTGTGTTTTGTAGCATTGATTGCAAATGTGTGTGTTTATGTGTGTGTTTTGTGGCCATTATTTTCGGTTACTGGGAAGGGTCATGTGTGGTTGTGTGTGTTTTAGAAACCTATTACAAAAAAGAATATATATCATACCTTTTAATTAATGGGAGGAAAGCCGACACTAAAATTTAAAATAAAATTCAACCTCCAAAAAAAAAAAAATTAATGGACATTTATATATTAAATAAGGAAGAAATCCAAAGGAATATGGAGTATTTAAGTTTCAACCCATAGCATTAAATAAGGAAGAAGAAGGAATAGTTTCTATCAGCCCTTTCCCTCCAATTATGTAAAGTTGCTTGTTGAACCGACGGTATACTCTTCTTCCTTTCCTACCAAACACCAAAATCCAACACCTTATTGCTATGCTATCTAATGAAATGGAGAACCACATAGCTCTATCCATCTCTACAACCATGTTGCCCAAATACAAAGTGAAAGCAAATGAGATGATTTGACTCGCTTTCGAAGTGGAATAGAATTTTATCACTCAAACTTGTCGAATTACCTAAAATCACAAAGCTTGACCATAATCTCAGAGGTTACGAGTGTACATAATACAAGATGTCATTATGTGATGTCCCACGTTAGTTGGGAAGGAGAACAAAACACTCCTTATAA